ACCCTTTTTTGTTGCCTCGGCTGAAATTAGTGATATTGAAAAATGCAGAGCATCCCCTCAGAAAACCTGTGACAGCTCCCAGAAGAGTAAAAATACAAGATAAGAGTCCTGAGAGATAAAAATTTATTTAGATCTGATCAGCATGTCATGATATGGTCACAAGTCATACAGCTGACACTCTCATAGCCAAAAGGGATTTTTTTTTTTTCTTTTTAAAAATACATTTTTCTTTCCAGCAGGAAGGATTTTTTTTAAAACAAACATTTCACACTAGGCAGGAATTACAACAATGGCTTTTTCAACATGACAACACAGCTGGTAAGCACTGGATCCCCCACCAGTGTCTTGTATTCAGATTTCCGGTTTTCCCTCCCACTTTCTCCCCCCTCCCCACTTCACCCCACCCCTCACAGAACACCACCACACAGAAAAACAAGACAAAACCCAGAAGGGAAACAAAGAGGTAGACATAACTACAACCATGGCACAGTTTTGGAAATTGTGCAAGGTGTCTTACTGTGCTCCAAGGAGTTTCTTTTCCCTTTGCTCTACGTTGCAGTATCACGCACCAGCGGTTAACACAGCAAGTGACACGGAGCTGAGAGAGATGCCAGGGCCACAGAACCAACTCGATATTGCTTTGCCTCGCTGAAGTTGTTTAAAAACAGAGCGCTCTGTTAAAAAATGGACTTATCTACAGAAGGAAAGGTTGGATTCACACCTTTCCGGGACGGTGGCAATCCAAGGTCAATGGGGGCCCAGGTTCTGCTCATGGTGTGCCCTCAACTCTCAGAAATTTCAAGGGGCATCATTGCTACGCAGTGACCTGCGGGGAAACTCTGCAGCCTGAGCGCCAGCAAAGTTTCCAGCAAGTGCGGGAGTGAGCAGGGGCTGCAGGAGCTGCTTCCCCTTCCCTCCCTACTGCTCCACTCCTCCCCTTACCACTTCTGGCATCGAAACGTTTGTCTCTCCGTCCTTCCTGATGAGAGCTCTAATAAGCAATGTTATCTGTCACAAATTAACACTGCAGCTGTATAGTGAGCTGAAGTGTTTATTTGGCTATTCGTTGTGTTTACAGTAAACACAACGGCAATCGTGTATCTACTGGATATAAGACAATAAATACAACCAAAGAAAATAATCTATTAAGGATTAGAAGCACATGAAATAATCTTGAAAAAAATGAACTTTATTTTTGCCACACAAAAAAAATAATGGGAAAAGACACCTAATAATCTCTGTAGAGAAATGCTGCTTCTGGTATCTGCCTACATTTCTGAAAGACATCTTGGCTGCTGGAAAGATTTGATAAAAAAATCCAATGAAATAAATTCAGTAAAATAATTCCAAACACGATCAGCCCTTTGCAAAATCACTGAGTCGCTATACAGGCTTCTGCATCCATTTTATCATACACAACAAAAATGCAGGTAACGCTGGAGGGAAGGAGAAAAGTGGAGGTGAAAATAACTGGCATCAAGAAAACTAATTTTTATCATACAAAATGAACACCATTCTAGAATAATTTTAAGGAACTAACTGACTTTAATAGGACAGTTGTTCGGTGTATAATTAGTTCATTATCCAATGATAAAAGGTTTAACTTTAAAATGCATAGAATCTTTTTAAAGACTTCTTCTATATCACAGCCAGGTAGTCTACAGTTTTTACAGGAAAAATAAAGCTGCTGAGAAGTGTTCATAATGTATGCAGACATTTTAAACCAGAGTATGGTTTCAATGTCGCTCTTCCAATTGTTTTTTAAAAAAAGTGTAAAAACTATCAAATATGCAATTTTGCAAAATAACCCTTTTATTCCATATGGCTCCATTATTTCCAACAATACAGTACCCCAGATGTAGAAGTATTTTGTGTGATTGTATCAGATCACCACACAAAATCTCCAGCTGACTATCGAGAGAATGCACCCAACCCCAGACTCATGATTTGGAAATCCCAGTTTTAAAGTACCTTTGGTCCCAAAAATTTTACGTCAAGGCAAAGTGGAGCAGTTGAATCTTGTCACACACAGTGATCGGTATCTGTATTGTCTTGTACAAACAGGTGAAAAAAGCTAACAGCACTTCATGGCAGTGTCAGACAAAAAAAAGGGACATCGTTTGCAAAACAAGTGAATAATGAAGAGTACCACAGTGATCATTGTATTTTTACCGCAGTAAGAGATGCATCTTATTTTTGATGCTGGGGTTGGAGGAGGGAGAAGGAAGCTTTTAATTTTCCAGTGAGCACGGTAAATTGAAATCTCGCTTTTCAAAAATCTGATGAGAGCAACAGAAAAAAAAATGAAAATCCCTCCTGCAAGAGACATCTCTGTTGAAAAGCCTGACAGACTGTACATAAAGTACAGGAGAACCTGCAAGGAAAGCGCGCTCGCCAAAGGGCACTGAAGAAAACCCTGCGCGTTGTGAACAGGCAGGCAGTCTTCACGTAATGGGATTCGAGGAGCAGCAACGCTAAACCATTCCATCATTTCAACTGTAACAACTTGTTTATGAACAATGAAACATGGAAACATACAGATGTTTTGTGTGCAGCCCTGGCAAAGAACCATCTTTATTCGCAACACACTTCAATTGCTATGTTCTCACTTCTGTGCGCAACAGCTTTCCTTTTGCGTTTTTTCTGTGAATTTTTCATTCTTTATCACTTTATACATTCCTCCGTTATATTCCCCCTAATTCAAAGTTACAGTCATTAACCATTTTGTAATCAACTGCACGGTTCTTTAACATCATTTTCTATCAAGTGCATTTTGAACTCTTCAGACGAGGAAGCCTGTGGATGGCGCAGCAAAACGCCCGCTACATCTGTACCGCTGGCCACCTGCCAGACGGTAGAACCGCACTGCAACTGACAGGAATTTACGTTTTACAAGCTAGCCTGCTAAGCTCCAACAGTCTTGACCAGCATGGTATTTTTAGCACAGAATTTCCTATACATTCTATACCTTTTACGTTTTTTTCCTTAGTAGAAAAACCTTTTATCCAATTTATTCTCTCTCATGAGGCAGCATTCAGGTTCGTGCTGGGAGAGTACTTCAGAGTTTCTTACCGACGGTTTCATTCCACTGTCATCTGCAGCAACTCAGCCGTAAGGAGACACGACGTCAGGCTCTCTTCACATTTTCCAGTGCAGGCAGGAAAGAAGCCCAAGACCTAATACTATTTACTCACCCTACCAAAACAACAATCAGTGCTTGAAAACAAATGTCTCGCAAAAGTAAGAACTACGGAGGAACAAACTGAAAATGAACAGGACCAGATAAATCGAATGATTATCTGAAACATTATTGCGCATTACTAATTTCTTTAGGCAGCATGTGAACACTATTGACTGCAATCCACCAGAAAAAATAAATATACTGCATTTGAAAAAGCAGTATGCTCTGACATGGAGTTCACAAGGTCTATAAAGAACAACCTCCTGATGGGAGTTACTGCTGTGCAATCTGCTTATAGAAACTTCCCTTTTTATATCACTCCAGTCTGCCCTAGCTCAAAATAAAACCAGCTGCACTGTGGGCATCTCTGTGGTTCTGATCAACCCACCTGGTGGAGGACAGAAACGAGTAGCTTCTCATCTGCATTTTGCAATTTTGAGAGTCTGTATACACCCACGTGCTGCAGACCTAACCGCTTACAAGGTAACGGCGCTGGGCTGCCCCAACACCCTCCTGCAAAATGGCAGACTAAATACATTCATTCCATCAGCTGTACTTTAGCAAGAGCAACAGGAAAAAAACCTGCCAAGACTGCCTCCCTTTCAGGGCATACCTCTTTTTAAGTGGATTTTATATTACACCAGAATTCAGGTGTGTGACCGGGTGTAAAGAGCTGGATTTCGAAATAGTATCTTTCTTAAACCATGAAGCAACCACCATGCTTCGCCTCCCAGCTGCAGTGGTTCTTTGAAGTCAATGAGGGGACTCATAGGTCAGGGGAACTTACTACGGCGTAGCACTTTGCAACCATCCCACTCGGGGTAAAACTACTGCTTTGGAGGGGGATAGGGGTGGCATATTTGACTGGGTATTTTTCCATTAAGACAGGGAAATTGGCATTGCCTCGTGTTTTGCTACGCTCTTAGCTCCCCCTGCAAAGGGAACGCTGGCTAGGTTTTGTATTCTGCACACCACCCACTGTGATTCAGGTAACAGGAGAGGGAGAGAGAACGGGGATCAATATTGCTAACTCAGAGCCAAAACTACTGAGGGCTTACTTTGTTCTCAGTAAAATTACTCTGTAAAAGGCAGTATGCCAACATCTGAAGTTCTGGCTATCCTGCTTGTATTTAGAGAGATTAGTTTTATTTTAGGAACAGCTCTCTCCAATCTGTGTATAATCACATAAACATGATGCCAACTAGACCTGCCAGAAGAAAGACCGTGCATCATCGACAGCCTTTCAAAAGTATCCTATGCTACACAGCTGAAAGTGTCGTCTGTTCCAGTTTGCCTTTAAATTCAACTCATCCTTTTTCTAGTAAGATGTAAGCACAGTGGTAAGCTAATTAATACTGCCCTCCATGTAGTTATTCAGAGTATTTACCATACTCTTTTTTTTTCAGTAGAAAAAAATCTATATCCTCCTATAGATTTACGATAGCAATTATACCTATTTTTTTTTTCTTTTTAAGAAACTAGTTTTTTCTTCTATTACTCCTTAGCAAAACATGAAGATGGTTGGCATTGAATTATTTAAACTCTCCCACAAGTATATTTAGCGCTGTTGCAACTAGCGGGGAGAAAAAGGCCTCTATAAACCACTCAAAGGTCACCTTGGTTGGACTGCAGTATACAAAATACAAAGGTGGCTAAAAATCACCAGCAGCACCAGCAGACCTTCAGAAACAGCTAGAATGGCTCTGGCTTCCGACGTGCGACAAAGTTTTCCTCTATTCCCTCAGTTTTCTGTCTTTCCTTCACTGTATTTTCACCTTTAAAAGTGCATTTTGACAACTGATAATGACCGTTGAGATGCATTCTGAACAAAAAAGGGAAAATAAACCAAGTGACTTTATATTTTCCAAGTTTCCTCATAATAGGAGATACAGGTAGCACACGGAATTCGGAGATGATGGTAAGACCACAGCACGGATGGGCTGATTGATTAAAGGTGGACAGCTTTTAATCACACTATGATGCTGCAATGCTTTTTTTTTTTTTTTTTGAGGACTGGTTCCTCACAAAACACACCTGACGCTGCATCTTATTTGGGTCTTGGTTTTAGATCAATGTGTCTAATACAACTGCTGACTGCGTAGCTGCAAAGATACCGCCACCAGCTCCACGCCAGTATCTTTGACTCCAGCACAATGAGTTGCAATAAAGTACAAGTTTGTGCAAATGAGGAATCTCTACCACACCGACGCTGTACAGACTACTGAAGAGACAAGTTGCTGAATTTTCTGAGCTCTAACTACAATGCCAAGAAATACTTGCGGTGACAGAGCTTTCTTGTCACAGACATTCTTCTACGGTGGTTGTACGATTGCACCTTTTGTCCAAATGCTGAATTTGCTTAAGTGTGGGTGAGAGTATACATTTTTAAAAATACAGACAATTCTTAAAATAATACATCATCAGGTCACTATGTTACTGATCTGCATTTTTAGTGGAGTTTAAAATTTCCCCAAAGAGAGGTAAGAGTCCGTCCAGTATTTTCCTTTACTCTTGAATATTCACATTTGCACATACGACATGATACTCATTTGCAAGAGCCTGGATTCCCATTGTGTCCTCAGGTCCCATTCCACTTTTAAAATAGGCAATGATAAAAATACTGAAAGATGCAGTACCACATACCGCCTGACAAAAATGCAAGTGATTGTATGCCGACTAGCCACAGGTTACTGAGGGTCATCTCCCGAGAAATAGCTTTTGTCTGACCCTGCAACGGAGGAAAAGCTCCTAAAAGAGAAAAGAAAACACATTTAATGCTTCCACAGCAGGAACGATAGCCTCAGCGCACGATTCTTTACCATCACTATCTGTCCCAGCAGCTGTGCCCACAAACAATGAGTTGGTTACTTCTCTATCATGCTGTTAAACTTTCAAAAGATTCTCCGGCATTATCAGTTATCTTCAAGAAAATAAGAAAACCTAACTCTTTTCTTTATTATTAAGAACAATTTTCATTTCATTTGGATATAAACTTAAACTTTAAGCATCAACTTCAAAGCATTCCTTAAAAGCAGCCATCCTCAGCCTTTGCAGGGAGGTCCGACTGTCAACTAGTTTTCTGTGTTATTTTTGAAGTTACATTAATGTCCATACACCCAAATGGAATGGACTCCATAGTAAACTTTACAGCTGTTTGGTAATGATTTTGTACGCTGCGAAGAAGCAGTACACATACACTCTCAACACTCTTCTTGACTATAAAGAGAAAAGTGCGTGTGTACATGTAAACAATAGTTTCCATATGTTGTTTGAACATTCCTTGGCCAGTCAGACATATAGCCTAAGGAAGCACTGCAATCAGTTTTCCAGAAAGACTTTTTTTAAATGTCTGTTTACACGAGAAAGACTGGCAGGAGATACAGCTGACATGATTAAAAACATTCATTTCTTCTCTATTTTGACCTTTTCTGACTTACAACACTAAACTACATGTGTCTGAATACATCAGAGCTTTATGAAAGCAAATTGTTGGCATATATTTACATCAGCATATTAAATAATTTGCATTACATTTTACTGAGAGGCACAAACCCCAGGTGATATAAACCACTTTTTTGTTGTTAATCCTTAACAGTGGATATAAAAAACTCTAAATATACCAAGGAAGATGATGTACTTGCTGCAGCATTCTGGAGTCACAACCACTCACAGAAGAACAAGAGACAAATGATTCAGAGAGTAAAGATACAGCAGTGTCAATTGCAATCTTAGAAACCACACAATTTGGGCAATTAGATACCATCAGCAACTCATCTTTATGCTTCACATTTGCAATCACTGGAGGAATTGCAATCAAGCGTTTAAGACAAAGCTTTTCTTACTTTATGAATGCTCTTTAAAAAAAAAAAACAAAAACCAAAACAACCCCAAAACCCAAAAAACCCCAACTTGATACATCGCACCCTTCTCTCACTGATAGGTATTTTCACACGTGGGCAGATTTGCCACACCATTTATTCCTCAGGAATTCTCACCGCTAAGCTTTTATTTGTCCACTCTATGCTACATTTGTTCTTCCACAGCCCATTTGTTTTCCTGTACCAACACTGACCTTTGGTTTAAATAACCTTCCTTTTCCCTCAGTACCGTTAGCAACTGCCTCTTCCCCCTCTCCCAAGCCAACTCGTATCTTACAGAGAGAACGATCCTCCACATTCATAGGCGAGACAAGCCAAGCACTTTTAATCGTCCTTCACAGAAATGACGACTCCTTCCCCTTAATCATCTTAGCACCTATTGCCTGTCCCTCTTCCCAGTTCAATTCCTGTTTCTTGAAGCGGGATGATGGACCTCTGTGCAGTTTCCAGATGAGGTTTCAGATGTGGTACAATGAAAACCCTCTCCTGTTGCCTGTAGGATGACATTGCTTACTTTTTCAGTTACATCACATCATGATCAGAGTGAGTGAGGAGCGTGATGACTTCAGTGTACAATTACTCATTTCCAACTGATAAGCTCCTAGTTTATAGGTTCTTTTTAATTAGTCTCCAAGTGCTTTTGTCCTGCTAAATGTAATCTCATTTGTGTTACTGCAGTGTTGAAGGTTATCCTGCTGAAGACTTCAGAGAAATCATGAACTTGCCAATACAAGCTTTCCACTAGCTGCTAAAATAGGAGTCGTTGTGTTGCTTATACCTACAGATATTAACTGTAAATGGTTTTAATTTTATAAATGAAATGTGTAAAATGCACCTGTAAGAAAGGATGGGACAGTTTCATACTCAAATTTGAGGCTGATGCTTTTTTTTTTGGTCTAATTTTAAGAGGTCTAATATTACAGGTTTTCCCCGGCTCCATTGAAGTTCTTAATGCTGAGGAATACAGCAAAAAGGAAAAAGGTGGTTTAAGCTTTGCTTCTTCCTCTTCCCCAATAAAAATATGCCAAAAGAATGTATCCCTACCAATGAGATTGTCAATGCAAACTTTTAAAGTTTCACATAGGATTAAATGTTAGTCCAGTTTTAGGAAGTAAGCTTAATGAACTGAGACAAGTTCCTAAGCAGTATGTATTTAAAAAAAAAAAATCAAATCAAACTGCTGAAACAGCCCTAAGTCTTAAAACTGCACCAACTTGAGACAACACAACACGTCCATGCAAAGGTAGCTCTTGAGCAACTGCAGGGACTCCCCTCACATTAGGACTCAGGACTTTTCCAAGGAGCTTCCAAAAACTGTAACAGCACTTTTGCAGTAAGCCACCAAAAGCAAGTTCTCAAGTGGAGAGAGATGGTATAAATGGTAATAACTTTAAATTATGCTAATTTATGCCAAATAAGCTCCTATGTCATAGCATTTACATTTAAAACATGTCTTATTAATTCATACTGATTACATTGGCAAATTATAACCAATTATCCTATTTTGGAAGCACATTTCAATAAATAAATCTGATTATATTCATTATCCTGTCTGAAATTCAGGTCTAGTGAGATACTTGACTTACTTTAATAGTATTTGTGAAATAATCATAGAATCATAGAATCACAGAATGGGTTGGGTTGGAAGGGACCTTAAAGATCACCCAGTTCCAACCCCCCGGCTGTGGGCAGGGCCCCCCTCCACTAGCCCACGTTGCCCAAAGCCTCATCCAACCTGGCCTTGAACACTTCCAGGGACGGGGCATCCACAACCTCTCTGGACAACCTGTTCCAGTGCCTCACCACTCTAACGGTAAAGAATTTCTTTCTAACACCTAATCTAAATCGACCCTCCTTCAGCTTAAACCCATTACCCCTTGTCCTGTCACTACACTCCCTCATAAACAGTCCCTCTCCAGCTTTCCTGTAGGCCCCTTCAGGTACTGGTAAGCAGCAATTAGATCTCCCTGGAGCCACCTTTTCTCCAGGCTGAACAACCCCAACTCTCTCAGCCTGTCCTCACAGGAGAGGTGCTCCAATATGTCTCAATAACAATAATTCCTTACCTCCTATTGACTACACCTGTAGTTTTAAATAGATTCACAAACTTATCTGTCTAATAAAGTCCAATATAGGCATTTGGATGGCATTTATATAGCAGGGTCTGACTTTTGCCATCAGTGATGGATGAGTGACAGCAGTATTTCATAAAGCAAAATCCAACTCTGGGTTGTTAAAGAATTCTATTAATCTTTTTAAGCACTACTATTGATAAATTAAGCACTCAAATCCAAAATAAAGCTGTCTTTGCAATAGATCATCTAATAGAAGTAAAGTCTTTGTTTAACATAGTCACTCTGGAATACTAAACTCAAGTTGATTCAAGGCACCAAGTATTTTTCTCCCCCTCAACAACTGTGCTACTTGCTAATGAAGAGATTCTTCAGAGACAAGCTGCATTATTTCATACGGAGTCTTCCTACACAGTCTATGTTTGATAAACTTCCTTTCCGGTATGTCTAAATAAACCACTAGTTCTTCCTCTCTGGATTTTCTTTTTTTTTTTTTATTTTTTTATTTTGATGAATTCCTCTGTTTTGTATTCTGAATGCAGACACACACGCACACACCTGCTGGAAGGCAAATGACACACTTCTGTACCACCAACTGGATGGAAAAAAAGAGCCTTGAGGAATCACCTCTAGAGCTATCATTTCATAGTAGTTACCTGATATTTTAAATTATGTGTTTGCCAGTATCCCTTCAGTAACATTATTAATGCCCTAAATTTATTTAGATTCCTCTGATTGATTAGCACTGAAATTATGTTATGGTGGAAGGTATCCTCAGTACCTCGCAGTAAGGAGGCCAGTTCTGACAGCTCAGAGCTGCAGATCAGGACTCCAGGGACTTTATGCTCTGTAATTCTAACAGATCCTCCCTATCATAGCATCTTTCTGGTTAGCTTAAGAGGAACAGAAGAGGACTATGGGTTTGGATTAGACCTGCAGACTCCTTAGATTCGTTTTCTCTAACAGTACAAGCACCAGAGGAACATGCTAAATAGCCACAATAAGCAGATAAAATGACCTGCCTCATGTAAGAGTCTTATTTAATCCCTTTTAGTCAAGAACTTGTTCATTTTAAATCCTGAAGGCTTTATATCCCCTCCGAACTGAACATGAGCTCTGAATACTTTTAGTATGCGTGTAAATGTTCACTACCTCTCTGAATCTTGCTACATTATTCCAGTCAATGAAATCCCATGGCAGCAGGTTTCACCACTGAACTGTATCTTATCGCAGAAAAAAGAGGATTTCCTTAGATCCGTTTTGAATGTGCCAGCTTCCAAACACCACCCCTATTCTAATGTTACCCAGGTAATTTACCTTTCCTAGATCATTTTTTATCATACTTTTTTGCCAAATAAAAAGTATTGATAATTATATCTACGGTATTCATGTGAAGAATATACACGTGTTCTTAAAACATTTTGAGATCCTGGTAGACAAAGACATTAACAAAGCACAGCTCTCTCTGCTACATATCATCCTACCTGTTTCGTAGAAATGTGTCAAGAGATCCTCCTTTTCAATGAATCGTTGATATAGCCAGTGTGCAAGAGCTTCAGGCTCTGCAGGTACATCTTTAACGGGAAAAATCCTACAAAAGAAACAGAAATTAAACCCAGGAATTCTCTAGGCAAAGAACAAAACTCTTCCCTTCTGCCCCAGCCCACCCCAAAACATCGAGAACCAGAGTTTGGTATCAGTCTAACTGCAGGGTTCATTCTCTCTCTGATTCACAGATCACATAAGCATTAAGGACACAAACTGGAATATTCCAGGTTATCAGCCATACGCACACACAAGACAGGCATTACTAGCTTCTAGTAAATGCTGCACGACAGCATTTGATAAAAGCTATTAAGTTGCTAAGTTGTTTTTTTTTTAAATAGAATACCACCACACTATATTACTATCCTTAAAAAAATACAAACCAAGAAGCAATGATGTTTATGCATTGAAACAGAAAGAAATAAAAGACTGAGAAGGTTCATCCACCATTTCGAAGAAACAGTTCAACAGACAGAAGCTACGTAACAACATCACTAAGTACCAAAAGCCCTCCCTTCTGTATCCCAGAAAACGAGTCCTCTGTGCTTTTCAAAGGATATCAGCATCTTTGTCTGAAATTTCTAAACGTAGGTTTTACACTGAAAACTGACCATGTAAGTAAGTGTACCCAAATACTGCTACTCTGTTTTAAAACTCCAATGGAAGAATCACTAATGTTTCGGTACTTTGACGCAGAACTCTAGGTCTACTATAGGGCAGGGATATCCAGGGCAGAACTCACTGATACATGTACATACCAAAACCCTCAAATAACCCACCATACTCACTGGATTTTTTTCAAAATAGAATTTCAAGTCTTATAGTAATTGTGAAATCTCTTCAGCAGACCCTAAGTGCCTTTTGATATATACAAGAACTTATATATCCACTGTGTTTCACTGGGAGGCCAAGGCAGAAGAGATCTGTGTATCAGGCTAGCCTAGAAAATTCATACTCTGAAACGTAAGACCTTTACTGTAGGCTTCTCTTTTCAGGTGAGCTCTCGATTTACTGTCATCTACGTCACGCTTCTATTTTCATTAGTGGATTTTTCATTTCTTTTTGAACATGGTCTCAATTGATTATACTGAAAAGAATTCTAAGTAACATCACAATCACGTGGGAAGTGTCTGAAGAGATATAGGAATGTCAGACTACAGAAGTAAGACACTTCTGAAGAATGCTTTTGTTGCTGTTACTGTTTTCAACATTTTTGCTTGCTTTGTTGGCAAGTCATTTGTATCTTTTCCTTTCAGTTTGATGCGTGGAAAAATAAGCTGTAAGTGGACGAGAAAAGCAGCAAAGCATTGCTCTAATGAGTGAATTAAAAATAATGGTGCTTCGGTATACAGAGATAATTTCAATATAAGATGATGAACAATTTTATTTTCCAACTATGGCATCAACTCAGATATTTCTGGAGCCTTTTTACCAATTCTACCTATGTCTTTCTCACACTGCGGAGTCCTCTGTGCTCTAGTCTCAGTAACCAGAAATTAGCAACTGTTAACTCAGGTAAAATACAGTTTGAAGAGAAGTCTTTGGCCAAAGACAAATACTACAAACTAGGTGGTGGTCCCATAAAGAGCTCAAGTCCTTAGTGTGCATATTAAGAGCAATGGCAAAGACCGGTAAAAAGAACTATTTTATCGTGAAGCCCAGACGTTGCACAGCAGATTAAAATTAAACCACGTAGAGGCAAGTAAAAGACACCTCCCCAGGGAAAGGGCTGGTTTTGTTGCGGGTATAACACCAAGACAGACTTATTATCTGTCCCCAAACACAACTGAGTTGCCAAGCACTATTTTTACTGTCTTCTGCCTATCTGCTGTGAAGAGATAAAAGGACTCAGCAACGGACTATTGTGTTTCACAGTATATTTCTGAAGGACAGATGCTTGCTTACGCAAGTCTGAAGATGGTTCAGAACTAGCAGAACGCATGTGTGGGCTCAGGACAGAAGTCTAGGATTACCTGGCCTCATGTGCAGTTTCCATTGTAAACTGCAGATACTCCTCACTCTACAACTCAATAACTTAGTTACGCCCGGTATTTTTCCAAAAATGTACCTACTAGTGTGAAAACATTATCGCAAGAGCTTACAAGATACACATTAGAAACAATTTATGAGCTGGCACGTTAATGGATTTGCAAAGTAGCATAAGTGATCCCAATGTTGTGAGAGGCTAATGGAACACAGCATACCACTTTCCTGCTTGAATCCATCCAGGCTCTTGTATGAATCAATACAGCACCAGAATATTTGAATCTCAGGATATAAACTCCACTTTTAAGAGTTTAAGAAGTGATCATCGTTACATCCATTTTGAATGAATATTAATGCAGAGTGGAAAACAACTGGTTTTTCAATAATGCTACACTGGCTGTCACTATTTAGCAATTGTAAGTGCTAGTGTATTTAGAAGTGTTTTCAAGCGCATTTTTAAATTATCCAGAGTTATTTTTACAAGTGGAACTTTTTATTAATAACTTAGATAAATTAGAGATGAAATGTTTAGAAAAAAAATCTTAAACTGTGGAACAAGCCCTTCCTGTACTAGATAAGGCAAAGCTAAACCCTGTATTTATACTAAACGTACTGCCACTATCATCATTCTCTGCCTATTAGATGGCTCAGCTGGCATCTGTGTTTTAAAAGAACATCCTCTTTAAGGAGACTTAAAGTCTGAGAATGTCTGATGTTACAAAACTCTCTACGCAGACGATCCAAACGGCTGAAAGCCATTGCTCTAACTGGAGCAGGGTCATTCTCAACATCAGCTGCAAGGTCTGCCAGGTCTAGCGTTGAAAGAGGCAGGAAATAGTTTCTTCTTCTCCATGAGGTATGTAAACATTGTCAACGTGGTCCAGCATGAACATCATCTTGGCTCTACCCCACCTTTGTGCTTCCAGCATCAGG